CTGGAAGGTTGTTCCTATCGGCGTAGCACGGAACAAGACGATTCTCACCGGAAAGTGGGTCTTCCGCGTGAAGACAAGGGCTGACGGCACCATCGACAAGTTCAAAGCACGCTGGGTTGTACGCGGCTTCGACCAGGAACATGGACGCGATTTCACCGAGACATTCGCTCCAGTCAGCCGACACACCTCGCTGCGAATTCTCGTCGCGATCGCCGCCATGAAGAAAAGGACGCTGCGGCAAATTGACGTCGCCAACACATTCCTCTACACACCCGTCGATGCAGAAATCTTCGTCGAGCTACCGCACGGCTCCAACGGAGAGCCTAATCAAGTCTGTGAGCTGCTGAAGTCGCTCTATGGCATCAAACAAGCCCCGAGGCTGTGGCAGGAGTACCTGCACGCAAGACTCATTCGGATCGGATTCCGCCAACTACCTCACGACCAAGGCATGTACCGGCTCACAAAGGGCACCGACTACATCTTGCTAATCGTTTACGTAGATGATTTGCTCTACATCGGCTCAACCGACAGCGTCACTACCTGGTTCGAAGGGGAGCTGCAGCAAGACCTTACACTCACAGTCTCATCTACCGTCACGCAATATCTCGGGCTCAACATACGGGAAGAGGAGGATGCGATCTACCTCAGCGCCGGGAAATACGCCGATACCATCGCCAAGCAGCTTCGCACTCACACCGACCGTCATCTCCACGCCATACCGCTACACGGCAGGAAACCACAAGGAAAGCTCCGCTCTACTCAACCCCGCCGGCATACGCGACTACCAGAGGAAACTGGGATGCCTCCTCTTCGCAGCTGTCACCTGCCGCCCGGACCTATCGTACTATGTAAGCCAGCTCGCCACCTACCTCAAGAAACCCGAAGCGGAACATCTGGCGGAGCTCGACCGCGCTCTTCACTACCTCGTTAGCACCCCGACAATCGGCCTGACCTACCATAAGAACACAACTATAACGCCTAAGCTAATCGGGTACGTCGACGCCGATCACGCCGGCGACTCCGACAACAGGCGCTCCCGCACCGGCTACATCTACCGCTTCGAGCCTATCGGTCCTATCTCCTGGCAGTCAAGCAAACAGGAATTAATCGCCCTCTCTTCAGCTGAAGCAGAATATATCGCACTCTGCTCAGCCACCAAGGAAGGACTGTACCTTCGCGAACTACACAATACGGTGGTATATCCCTCATTTATTCTGCGCTGTGGCGATCACTTTGCACACCTCATTCCTACCTCCGTTGGCTCAGCTCAGCTCAGTAGCCCGGCACGGTGGCAGCAGTAGTGTAAGTGTCATACGCGTTCACGGAAGGTTCGGGGGATTTGGTGGGATTCACTGCATCGTTGGTGAAAGTGCCTGGAGTGAAGACCACAGGAACTGCAGCGTCAGTGGCGGCAGGTCCTTCGCCAGTGTTGTTACCGGTACTAGGATCGATAGAGGCATTAGAAACCCCTGAAATGGCGGTGCCGGTACCAGGATCTGTAACGCCAAGGGTGGATTCCAGCATGGCCCGGGCAGACTCTGAAACGGAGTTGGCGGATTCCAGAATGTTGCCGGAAGGTGCTGTGGTGCCGGTGGTGCCGGTGGCAGGTGGTGAGGTTTCTGCAGCACAGGCAGGGCGAGAGAGAGGGAGAGAGGGCAGGTGAGCTCGTGGGTCCATCCAGTCAGGGTAGCGTTCAGTGAGGGTGAGGGTGAGAGTGAGAGATAGAGATAGAGATAGAGATAGATATATATATATATATATACAGAGAGAGAGAGAGAGAGAGAGAGAGAGAGAGAGAGAGAGAGAGAGAGAGAGAGGAGAGAGTGCGATAGAGAGGAAGAGGAGTTTGCGGTGAGCGGAATGGAGGAGGGGCAAGGCAAGAGGGGACGCACCAGTGAGGCAGAGGGCGGACGTCACTACACCGGGAACATACTTGACACTGCACACAGGGGGAGGGAGGGCGCCACGAGTGCGCGGGTCGTTGGTCAGGTGGGGGAGCAACCGAGCGGCGTTAAGAGCAAGGCGAGCATGGGAGCAAGGCGAGCATGGGAGCAAGGCGAGCATGGGAGCAAGGCGAGCATGGGAGCAAGGCGAGCATGGGAGCAAGGCGAGCATGGGAGCAAGGCGAGCATGGGAGCAAGGCGAGCATGGGAGCAAGGCGAGCATGGGAGCAAGGCGAGCATGGGAGCAAGGCGAGCATGGGAGCAAGGCGAGCATGGAAGCAAGGCGAGCACGAATAGAAGGCGTGCCGCGCACCTCTGTGCGCCCATGATGGGGAGAAGGTCCAGCGTCTGGTGGGGAACAACCGAACGGCGTTCAAAGCATGGAAGCAATGCGAGCAGGGATAAAAGGCGCACCTCTGTGTGCCGATGATGGGGAGAAGGTCCAGCGTCTGGCCTGTGCACGCGGGATCCTGGAAGAACCGGATTGCGCGGCACGTAGCAGCGTTGCCAGCATCGCTTCCCTGCTGTCGAGAGACTTCCACGCGAGCCTTGACTGCACCCGGCATGGCGGGGATGTTGACACAGCGGCGCGACTCGAAGCTAAAAGGACGGCCGTTGATAGTCATCTGCGTGGCAATCCTCGCTGGGGCCGATGGGATTTCCGCTGCGAGCGACGGCTGCGGGAGACACGCTGCAAGAGAGGGAGGGACACGTGGCATGGGAGGGTCACGGAGGCATGGGCGTGTTCATTGGAAATGCATTGCGTGCGCATGAGAGCACTGTGGTGTGGTCCGTGGCGCATGAGAGCATGGAACTGAACGCATTGCGGCGTGGACTCGATGATGCGCATGGGAGCACGCACGCACGACGACGGCGAGAGAGAGCGGAGCGAATGACGGAGCGTACCGGCGATGACTTCGACGATGGCGAGCAGCGCACGCACGGCCTTGCCATTCCCCATGCTGCCGCTTCTCCGGTGGACGGATGGTGCTCAAGCTTCACCCTTGAACGACACGAGTAATTCCAATAGCTCGAGTAGTAGCAGATGTGCAGCGGAGCAACTCCGACGGGAAGAGGTGCTAGATGAATGATTGGTGCTACTAGTGATTGGTAAAGCGGAAGAGGTGACGAGGCCGATCGGGCACGGGTGCTTAAATGGGCATCGCAGCGAGCCTACTAGCGTGCGGCGCATCATCCGCTCCACGGAGCTTCTGCGCGACGAGGGGCCTCTGTGATGGGAAGCAGCTCCCGACGGGCGCGGCAAGGCCTTGGCCATGTGCGACCGCTGCGACAGGAGTCGCTGCAGGGAACGCGTTTCTTTAGTCGCCAGCGCGCCTTGGAATAAGCGTTTCCTGAGGTGTGTGCGAAGGTGACAACGCTGGCGAAAACAGAAATGGAAATGGATTTATTGGACATAATTATTGAAGTCGAAAATGTTAGGTCTCTCCGCAACACTTAGGATCCACATTCAATGTCAGCACAATGTTTGCTAAAAAATGGGGGAGTGGAACGAGGGTCGTGCTCGGCAAAATTATTGTGGACACCAGGACGGAAGGGCCCATTCCCGCTGACTTCGGATCTTGTAAAGACCCCATTCACAACAATAATTCCGATGTGATGCCAGACAAGCGTTCTGTTCTGAGGGCGCGGGACACACAAACACAAGTGACGCGACGCGAGGCAATCGAATGTCTCCGATATGGACAGTCTCTATCGCAAGAATCTGACAACAACAATTGCTGGTGATTCCCTTGCATGCAGCCACTAATGGTGACTTCGCCAAAATATCGCCAAGATCGCTTATTGGTTCAAATACAAACAAGGTTAGAATGTTGTGTAATGATATAATCTGGTATAGCTACGAACAGCAAATTGAAAATGGCTGATCACGCTCCTAAGTGATGGTGCTGACAGTAGTGAAAACTAGAGTGAATTGATGGAAGCCACCAGAAACAAAGGTCAAAAGCAGGGTCATCTCTATGATTTGAAACCACATGTGTAGAATTGCAACAAGATCCAGAAACAAATATTTAGATGGGTAAAACAAAGATTACAACAAACCTAGAAAGAGAAAACAAGGGGAGAAGTGGGGGTGCGAACAGGAGAAATCTAACCAGCCCGGACAGGGAGGGTCTGATAACACGCAGTGCTGCTATGATACCAGATTGGTTGCTTCTATTCTTCTTGAGAACTTGCCAGCTATCCTGCCTGGCACCTGCTCAACGACCTTCCCGAGAACAGTTCACCAACTAACTCTCCAACCTGTCTGAGAAGCACAGCAACAGCAACCAATCCCTGTCCCTACGCAATACGTCCCTCAACTCTTCTCAGATGTGGCGACTGATTTGGCTTGGCGCAAGTAGAGGAATAGGATGGTACGGAGTTGCCACCGCTGGAAGGTTCTGGAGTTTAGTTGGGAGATTCTGACGTGTAGATAGGAGAATCTGACGCGTTGCTGGAAGAGTCTGAAACGTAGCTAGGAGGAATTTCTGACACGTAGTTGGAAGGTCCTGAAACGTTGCTGGAAGAATCTGAAATGTCGCTTGAAGATTCTGCAATGTTGCTGGAAGATTCTGAAGCGTCGCTTGAAGGTGTTGTGGTGGACGAAGCTGTGGTGGTGCCGGACGGGGTTGAGGTGGTGCCGGACGGGGTTGTGGAGGCGCCGGACGGGGTTGTGGTGGTGCCGGACGGGGTTGTGGTGGTGCCGGACGGGGTTGTGGTGGTGCCGGACGGGGTTGTGGTGGTGCCGGACGGGGTTGTGGTGGTGCCAGGTTTTGCTGCTGGCACACAGGTGGCACCGACTGCATTGTAGCCCGCCTTACACTTGCACTCCATTCCAGTGCCACTGGTGCGTTTGGCACACTCGGAGTTGGCAGGGCAGCCTGCAGTGAGGCACGAGGGTTCTGCAGCAGAGGCAAGGAGAGAGAGAGGGAGGCCAGGTGAGCACATGGGTCCATCCGGACAAGGAAGCATTCAGAGAGAGCAGAGCAGGCGAGGGAGGGCGGAGGAGGAGAGAGTTGCGGCAACGAGACCATGCTGAGCGGAGCGAAACCATACGAAGCTCACTGGGAGGCTGGCATTTGTTGTTGACCGCGCTGTAGCCTTTCTTGCACGCGCACGTCACTGCCGTGCGGTCGTCCGTGGGTGGGGTGCATGTGTCAGAGCCGGCAGGGCAGCGCGCATACCGACACATGTTGTCTGCCGCACAGCGCCGTGCGGACCGGGGGAAAGGGGGAACGGGGAAGGGGGGAAAGGGGGAAGGCGAATGCAGAGATGAGGCGCGGCAGCCTGCCACCCACTCGCGTCGTGCGCTCTGCAGCGCAGCGAACTGGGCTGTGCAGTGAGAGCGCGAGGCCAGCGAGAGAGAGAGAGAGGGCGGCTTCTCGCGAGAGGCGGGCGCGAGAGAGGGCAAGAGGGGACGCACGCACCTACGAGGCAGAGGGCGGACCTTGCTGCACCGGAGATGCGCTTCTCACTGCACACAGGGGGAGGGAGGGCGCCACGAGTGCAACGATCGTTGATCAGGTGGGGGAGCAAACGAGCGGCATCAAGAGCATAGGAGCATGGAAGCAAGGCGAGCAAGAATGGAAGGCGCACCTCTGTTGGCCATTCACGAAAACGTCCAACGTCTGTCCTTTGCACGCGGGATCCTGGAAGAACCAGATCGCGCGGCACATAGCCTTGCCAGACATGCTCGCCTGCTGCCACGGCACCACCACCCGCGCCTTCTGAGACGGCGACACGGCGGGAAGGTTGACACAGCGGCGCGGCGAGAATTTGAATGTGCGCCCGTTGATTGTCATCGGCGTGCCTATCGGCACTGGGACCGACACGCTCGCTGCTGCTGCTGCTTGCGACGGCTGGGGGAGACACGCTGCAAGGGAGCGGCATGTGGCATGGGAGGGGCACGGACGAAGGAGCGAGTTCGTTGGGCATCCATCGCGTGTGCGCGCTGTCGAGTGGTGCATTGAACGCATGACGGCGTGAGCACGATGGCGCATGAGAGCGCGGGGCGAGAGAGCGGAGCGAATGACGGAGCGTACCGGCGATGACGGCGACGATGGCGAGCAGCGCACGCACGGCCTTGCCATTCCCCATGCTGCTGATTCCGGCGGACGCCATTCGCTCTTCGACCTTGATCGCCACGAGCAATCCGAGAGCAGGAGTGGAGCAGGAGTGTGCAGCGGAGCAACCCGAGAGAAAGAGGTGACGAGAACGATCGGAGTAGAGCAGGAGTGTGCAGCGGAGCAACCCGAGAGAAAGAGGTGCTAGAGGAGTGATTGGTGCTAACTGGTGTAAAGCAGAAGAGGTGACGAGAACGATCGGGCACGGATGCTTAAATGCTCATCGCAGCGAGCCTACTAGCGTGCGGCGCATCATCCGCTCCACGGAGCTCCTGTGCGAGGCTGGAGGGACCTCTGTGGCGGGACGCAGCCCGCGACGGGCGCGGCAAAGCCTTGGCCATGTGCGACCGCTGCGACAGGAGCTGCTGCAGGGAACGCGTTGCTTTAGGCGCCATCGTGGGCTTCGATTGGGCGTTTCCTGGCTGTGTGCGAAAGCAAAAACGACTGGGATGAAGAATCGCGTCACAAGGATTTATTGGAGGAAAAGTCAGACACCTCACAGTAAGGGCCCATTCATTGTCATGTCACTATCTAAGGTCCGGATGATGGCGACATCGCCAAAATTCTGCCAGTCCTCTCACGAGCATTTGCGAAACCCGTAACCATACTGACGTCCGGACCCTGGCTCGGTTCGGATGGGATGGTCTGGGGGTGTTCCCACCCCTCGGACCCAAGTTCACCCCGCACAAATGGGAGTGTTGTGAGGAGGAACGCGTTGGAGTGGCTTGGTTCGTGGAGAAGTGAAGAGGAATGGAATGTTGGCAAAGAAAAGTTTAGCCCATGAACGGTGTTGTACGCGGTGGAATCAGATGTGTAAAACTGAAAAAACGCCTTACATATGGGCTCAATACATCATTACAAGCACTCCATAAAACACACCGGATTCTGAAGGATCACACCACGGCGAGGATTGTAACAGCTCTATCGGGTCCATCACACACCACGAAAGCCTTGCCTGCAATGCTCTCCGCCTTTTCCGCCATCTGGCGGCCATGGATTCTGACGAGCTTGAACAAGTCAACGTCCTCGCTACAATGCACGCCGAGTTCTGATCTTCTTAACAGTATCGTCTTTAACATTCGAAATGGAAATCTGGTAATTTATGCTGACCTCGGTCTCTCCAGTTATCAGGCAACAAGCATCAGGCTCAGCCATGCATTCCCAAGGCCGTGTTACCTTCAAGTTCATTACCATGTTAATTTCAGCGTATCGTCAACTTCCATTGTCGGTGTATCTCCGACCATTATTAAAGCCCGTAGCTAAAATGGTGACCCCCTCGTTCTAGTTGGGTCCAACTTGATTACTCAAGTTTTTTTGCATTGTTTTGGAAAGTTATAAGTTACGGTATGTGTTTTTCGTTTTTCAGCCATCAGACGAGTTCCGAAGTGAACCACTGTTACGAGTGCAATTAAGTGATCGAACGAGAATTGCACTATCGAAGCAAGAGTACAATGAGCGAAGGCATGAGCGAAGAATATATAGCGAATCTACAGTGGTAACGGTAATGAACTGTGGTTGACGCGCGACGGGCCTGGAACTGAGGTTGGGAAAATGTCGAGGCGGAGGCCCGGAGCGCGGGTTACTGAGAAGATTTGAACAAGAATGGATGAACTATGAATGAAGTGAGTACATATAGGAAACCCTAATTGGGTTGTACCCCCTATGGGATACCCCACTATAGCCTACACAACAGCATAAGCTATATGTATGTTCTGACACACCCCCATAGGCAAAGTGGGGGAGAACAAGGGGTCACAAGACCAGTCACGCAAAGCACAACAAGCTCAGGGTGGATCACAAAGTCACCACACAGTCCGAGCACAACGACAAGGCCACAAGGCCAGTTCACATGCAGGAGTGCACATATATATATAGAGCTAGACAAGGAAGAGCAGGTATATATATGTGACAGTACAAGCAAGGTCAAGAGGAGAGCAAGTGAGGCAAGACAGGTACAAGACCCAGCTGAGTGCAGAAGCGCTGATGGTCACAAGGCGCAAGTGCCTTGGTGAACACATCAGCAGTGTTGGCCTCAGAGGCCACGTACGCAAGTCGCAACTGACCACGCTGCTGCAGCTCACGAGCAAGAAAGTAACGGAGAGCAATGTGCTTCGTTCTGTGCTCCAAGCGCTGCTCTCGACACAAGGCCAGCATGGCCTTGTTATCTACGTACAGCACTGGAGGAGAACGAGGCGGCTCTCCAAGGTCAGTCAGCAAGTAGGTGAGCCAGCGAAGCTCCTGTGCAGCCATGGCCCCGGCGTAGATCTCAGCCTCACAACTGGAGCCGAGAACAGAGGACGAGCGAGTAGCCCGCCACGAGACAGAGCCGGAACCAAGACTGAAGGTGTAACCCTGCGACGACCGCTGCGTAGCCTGGTCGTCAGCCCAAGAAGCGTCCGCGTGCCCAGTGAGGACCACTGGACTCCGCCCTCCAAGCACTAGCCCCATGCCCGACGTACTGCACAAGTAGCGCAACACCCTCTTCGCTGCAGCCATGTGCTCTGGTCGGTGTCTCCCAGGAGCAACATAGCGTGCAAGAATGCTAAGAGGGTATGCAAGGTCAGGTCGTGTGCAGGTCATCAGGTACATGAGGCAGCCAACAAGCTCTGGGTACGGGCCACTCGACTCTACGGACTCATCCGAAGGCAGAGCTGAGAGCGAGTGGCGAGTAGACAGAGGAGTGGCCTGAGGCGAGGAGTACGTGAAGCCGAAGCGCTGAAGGACCTGCTGCACCATGTGTGACTGAGTCAAAGTAATGGTGCGGCGTGCTCTGTCCCGAGTGATCTGCAAGCCAAGGTAGCTGCGCAGTTCACCCAGGTCTGTGCACGTGTGTCTCTTCTGCAGCTCGGACTTCACGTAGGCTAGTCCAGCAGTGTCAGCTGTGGCAAAGACCAAGTCGTCGACGTACACGAGGATGTAGAACGGCGGCAAAGAAGTGTCGGTGCGCAGAAACAACGACGGGTCAGCCGTAGAGGGAGCAAACCCAAGAGCCGTAAGCGTAGTCCTCAGTGTGTCGTGCCACTCACGCGGTGCCTGGCGGAGACCGTAGACTGGCCGTCGGAGGCTCCACTGGGTGCCAGTAGGGAAAGTCCCAGTGAAGCCAGGTGGACGGCGCAGCCAGATCTCCTCGTGCAGGCTACGCAGCACCCGAAGAGTGGTCATCTTCGGGGTGGGAGAGAAGGTCTGAAAGTAGTCAACTCCCTGCCGCTGACTGAAGCCACGAGCGACGTACCGCGCCTTGAAGACAGGTGGAGAGCCCGGCGGCCGCTTCACCCTGAAGATCCACATGCCACTGACGATGTTCGCCCCAGGAGGGGGAACCGCGTCAACGTAGGTGCCTGTGGACTTCCAGGACGCCATCTCTGCATCCATAGCTGCCTGCCACTGAGAGGAGTAGGGACCCTCTACGGCCTCCGCGTAAGAGCGCGGAGTCGGGATGTCTAGTGCATCCGGGTCTCCCTCAGGGGCAAGTAGTACGGACGCGAGATGAGGTGAAGCAGCAGCCAGACACTGGAACTCCTCCTGCCTGTCCTCAAGGACGTCCGTGCCAAGAGCACACTCACCCCCGACGGACGGAGGACAGACAGACGCAGACTCAGCAACAAGACCGGCAGCGTAGTCTAGACGGCAGCTAGCAGCAAAGTCGACGAGCTCAGCAACAAGAGCAGACGCAGCAGTGGACTCAAAAGAGGGGTCAGTGACGACAGTAGCAAGGAGACGTGTGACAGTAGGACTAGCAGCACGAAGAGAGTCGGACTCTGGGTCGGTAAGTGCAGGAAGGGAGGACTCAGGAGGAGAAGGCAAAGGGGCACGCAGAGGAGCAGTGGACGGACGCAAAGACATCCGGTGCGTGCCAGGGACAGGAGGAGGACGCTGACGCGAACCGCGACCACTAGCGCGAGCAGCACGAACAGGCGACGCAGGACGAGACGCAGGCTCACGACGCTCAGCAAGACCTCCAGTGGGACCAGTGTAAGGAGAGGGAGCAGGAAGTGGGGAGGCGGGCTCTAACTGGGACTGTGACTGAACAGGCTGTGGACACGCTGCAGGAGGAGAAAGACCAAGAACCTGCTGTAGGAGTGGAACGAAGTACGGCCGAGGCCGCGCGGCGACTCCAGACACAGCAGGGACAGCACCCTCAGCAGCAGCACCAGCGCCAACAGCACCTCCAGCTCCAGTACCTCCAGCAGCACCAGCAGTACCCGCAGCAGGACCACCGCCAGGAAGGACAGCAGCAGTCTCAGCACCAACACCCGCGGCAGCTCCAGCTCCAGGCGGACCCGAGGGCCCAGCAGCTCCGGGACCAGCGGCACAAGTACCCTCAGCAGCCGAAGGAGCTCCAGCTCCACCAGTACGTCTCCAGCGGCGAGCAAACCACTCGCGCAGCTCCTGTGGAGAGAGGGGCTCCCGCCGAGGCGAAGCACCCGGAGAACCGCCAGGTCCCGCACCGCCAGACGCAACAAGGGGAGGTCCAGTGGCCGCAGGCTCCGCAGCTCCAGGCTCAGTAGCTCCAGACGCAGCACCCCCTGGCTCAGCACCCCCAGTCACAGCATCCCCAGGCTCAGCACCCCCAGACTCCGCACCCCCAGGCTCAGCACCCCCAGTCGCAGTACCCCCAGGCTCAGCAGCCCCAGACTCAGCACCCCAGGCTCAGCACCCCAAGGCTCAGCACCCCCAGTCGCAGTACCCCCAGGCTCAGTACCCACGCGCGTAGCACCCCCAGAGTCAGCACCCCCAGGCTCAGCACCCGCAGCAGGACCAGAGTCACCAGCAACCTCGACCGGCTCGACTGCGTCTACCTGGGACACACCTGAAGGGGCAGGACCCTGAGGGGGAAGGGGGTCTACCGGGGGGGGACCTGGCACAAGGAAGTGCGGTGGCGGGGGGAGAGAAGGAGTGCGGTAGGGGAAGAGGCGGTAGAAGGGGACTGACTCGTCGAACGTGACGTCCTGGGAGGACAGAACACGACGAGAGGAGGGGTGGTAGAACTGCCACCCT